TTTTTTTTTTTTTTTTGCTTTGTACTAACTCACTTTTTCAAAAATATATATAATAATATAGAGTATTTTTTAATTTTTTTTTTTAAAATAATGCCAATACTATTTTTTATTACAGTATTATATTACATGTGACATTCGCAGAAGGTCACTATACTTTATGTACCTCAAATGTACCAACTACGAAGCTACACTTAAACTGGTACACTTGATGAGTCATTCGTGTTTTACAGATTTCATCACCGATTATTAAAAAATAAAAAAATAATAATATAAATAAATAAAAAAAGGTTGTTGATTTAATTTGCTGAATAACATTTATATTAATATGTTACATAATTAAAGAAAAATGCATAACCACATATGTATTAAGCATCAATTGTGACATTTTTTTTTTTATTTTTTATTTTTATGTTGGAGTATGATAACCAAATATAATTATTGAAATACTATATATATGAAATCTTGTAATTTTACACATCACATCACCTTTGAAATCAATAACTCAAAATAAAATACTTCTACACAACATTATATCAAGTATAATTGTGTCAAGATAGTATTATTCGTTGGGATAAGTGAAAAAAATCGATCTTATATCACTCTTCACCGATTTTTTTTTTTTACCATTTTACTACACACACAACCACTGAACCACATAGGTATGTGTTGATTCAACAGTAAAATTGTCATCGCCGATAAGCACGATTTTTCTAGAATAAGTATGATGATACACCAGTTTGAGATAAACGTATTAATTTGGTATATTTATTGCTAATTATGTAAAGTCGTGATTAAATTGTCAAACAGTAGTACATTTTTATGCAAATTTGATTTAAAATTACATGAAATAAATTAGAAGTGTTGTAAATATTGCTTTGACCTAGTATAATTAGTTAGCACAGCAACAATAATAATACTGAAACCACACAAACTTTGGTTGACAAAAAGTGATTCTAATATTCATGAATTTACTCATGATAATTGATGTAAATATGTATTATATATATGCACTACTATATTATTATGTTACTGCAAGAATGTTATTTCAATGTACAACATAATTATTTTTATGGGTCTTTTTTTTTTTTTTTTTT